AATTATCAGCCTCCCCCCCCCCCAGTGCATGACGGGGAGCTGGGGGGTGAAGGGGGAGCTGGGGAGGGGTGAAGGGGGAGCTGGGGGTGGAGACTCGGTCTTGCACTGTCAGAATAGATGAACTTTTGACCCACGTTCAAGGTTGGCTTTATTAATCCGCTTGCGTCGCCTATCCTCAAACTGCCCCCTATTCTCAGCGTCTACATAGTAAGGAAAAAATTACTATCTAAACATAAGGATGAGTTGATATAATTGTCAACAGAACCAAAAACTAACCTAACCTACCCTAGGCCGCCTTATACAATATAAATGTATGAGAAAATTCTGTTTTTGAACAACATCAGCCCAAGGGTGTGTTGGCGTACGATAATTCAGGCCGATAATCGCGCTAATGAACGTTCTGCAGCCATGTTCATTCAGTATGTTGAACGTTGAACAGTGTTTCGTTCCACGTTCTTAACGTGCGATAATCACCTTTCGTTTCGTCTGCTGAACGCGACAGAACAATGGTTTCAATCCACCTGTTGAACGTACAAGCACGAAGTTCAGCCTCACCTATTGAACTGGAGGCGCCAACGTCATTTCCTGATGAACGCCAGGCTGCGAGCAGCCGCGTCTAACAGCCTGGTTGTTCAGTTCAGCAACCAGGAGGCCTGGTCGACGACCGGGCCGCGGGGACGCTAAGCCCCGGAAGCACCTCAAGGTAACCTCAAGGTAACAGACGGAAGCTCTGTCATTTCACACCTTTCCTTCTCATCACCACAACTAAGAAATTTATGCTCTCTTAATCGAAACAAAAATTGCATGTAATTTCAAAACAAAAAAAGTGCAATTATTTTTTCCTATATTTTCAGACCACTCCACTAGAAGGCCCCAGCAAACACACCGCAAGGTTACTGGACGCGGTGGTGTATCACACAGCTGCTCCCAACAGCACAAGGCCACCACCAGCAGCAGCAGCAGCAGCAGTAGCAGCAGCAGCAGCAGTAGCAGCAGCAGCGCCTGTAGCAGCAGCAGCAGCAGCGCCTGTAGCAGCAGTAGCAGCAGCGCCTGCAGCAGCAGCAGTAGCAGCGCCTGTAGCAGCAGTAGCAGCAGCAGCGCCTGTAGCAGCAGCAGTAGCAGCGCCTGCAGCAGCGCCAGCAGCAGGAAGGACAAGCCTGTAGCGAGGTGTCAAGAGGAACGTGTGGTCAGAACCATTACAACGCCCACCAGGTATTGAGATAATTGATCGTGTCCCAGAACTCAGAGTGTCACCGGAAACGTGTAATTGATCCCTTGTAAGGAGGCCGGGGGGGATGGGGGACGGAGGGAGAGGGGGTTGTATCCCCCCCCCCATCTCCCTTCCCGCCCAATACCTGCACCCTTTCCCTCTTCTCCATTCCCCAACCCCCACTACCTCAATCCCCTCCCCTACCACCTCACCTTCCCTCTCGCGACAGTTTCTCTCACAGCAATACCGCACTCTTGTTGTTTTAGATTCAGCTACTTTGAACAAAAGTTCCAAAGTATCACGGGCTATGGTGAGCCCGTAGTGGACTTACCTGGCACAGGAGCGGGGGCTGTAACTCCGGGGGTATCACACTCTGTTGTTGTTGTTGTTAAAGATTTAGCTACTCAGGACGAAGTGTCCATGTAGCACGGGCTATGGTGAGCCCGTAAACAGTATGTATCGCTCTCTCTCCGAGCTCAATAAATACCCTCTGGTTGTGAAGGGTAAGATGAGCGGTGGAACTCATGGAACACGCGGTTGTATGAGTTCCAAAATCCTCAGATTAGGCAATATTGTAATTAATTTTGTCAATAAAGATGTTAATAATAATAAGTTAGAAGGGGCGAAGTTTCAGACGTGGCGACGGTGACACTGTTGAAGTGTGTGACGTGACATGACAGTGGGATGGTGTCATGACCGGGGTGACGTCGTGGTGACGCAGCAGAGCTGGATGGATAAGGAGAGGATAGGAAGGACGGAGGATAGATGTAAAGGGGAAGGAAGGGGTTAGCCCAGCAGACACAGTGCTGCACCTGCTGGTGATGAGTATCTTGGCTGAAATAATGGTGCTGACGTTCTCTCTTTCTGTTCATATTAATTTCCTAGCCCCCAGCACCTGTCCCCCACCGCCCCATCCCCCCTTTTCACCCGCGGCACGAGGACCATTCAGGCTGTTTCACATATCTCTAGCACTACACCACAGTGCTGATTTCCCCTCCGCCATCCCCAACCTTCCACCCCCAACCCTCCACCATCTCATTTTCCTTCCCTTTAAATAAAAAAAAACAGAATTTTCTTAACTGCAATAAAAACATTTTATACTGTTCTTCCAGAAAAGCAAATGGTGGTGAACGAAAAGCGGACTGGCATAACTAGGCAGACACTGAACTGGGTATGAACAGTCATAAAAAGAGGTGATTTGGTGCTGGAGGAGTGCAACAAGAAATATTGCCGGAACAACCGAGGACAACTTCAAGACAAAACTAGATCATTTTCTCCAAGGAGTGCCGGACCATCCGGGCTGAGGTGGATATGTGGGCCTGCGGGCCGCTCCAAGCAACAGCCTGGTGGACCAAACTCTCACAAGTTAAGCCTGGCCTCGGGCCGGGCTTGAGGAGTAGAAGAACTCCCAGAACCCCATCAAGCAGGTAAGTGGGGGTTCCATAAGTCTCTGTCCCGGGACCTCTACTGTTCCTAATGTACGTGAATGACTTTAACCCGAGGGAGCGAGCTTGTTCTCGCTAATCTTTGCAGGATACACAAAGCTGACTAGGTATATCTATTGTCTTCGACTGTCTATATGTAAAAGCAGATGACTGCAGAAAAGTACAGGTAAATCTTGACAACAACAGGAGTGTCTGAACAGAAATGTTTGCTAGAATTCAATTCCAACAAATGTAATGTAATGAAGCTGGGAAAGAGAGAGAGAGAGAGAGAGAGAGAGAGAGAGAGAGAGAGAGAGAGAGAGAGAGAGAGAGAGAGAGAGAGAGAGAGAGAGAGAGAGAGAGAGAGAAAGGTAGCTATATAACCTATCGATATGGTGTAGATACTTATATTAAGGTATCTACACCATAAGAGAAAGGCATCTACAGGAATCGGAAAGATTTGGCCATAATTTGAACACTAACAACAGATTCAAACACATACGAACACCGGCAGCATACAGGACGCTGACAAGCTTTACATCATCATTCAGAAAACCTAAGTCAGGATTCAGGTGATGAGTCACAATAACGTGGCTAAAGTAAGTTGACCAGACCACACACTAGAAGGTGCAGGGACGACGACGTTTCGATCCGTCCTGGACCATTCTCAAGTCGATGAGAATGAGAATGGTCCAGGACGGACCGAAACGTCGTCGTTCCTTCACCTTCTAGTGTGTGGTCTGGTCAACTAAGTCAGGATTCTTTCAAAGCAATCTTCACAGCGTGTATTACATCACTAAGGATATATGCAGCACCGGGATTTAATCTGCTTCTTGTGAAGCATAAAAACCAAGTCAGAACATGTCCCGAGGTTTGCAACAGATTAGTACCAGAGCTAAGTGACAAGAAACTGAGGGGAGATATGAGCTTAAGATACAAGATACTGAAATAGACAAATTAGGCACAGGACAATCTCGTTAAATTTGAGAAGTAGGAAAAAAATATATAAGTAGAAGCTGGAAATGCAAATGAGTCGAAGAAATGAAAGGAAATATTAGTAACCTGTACGGGTTAAGTCAACAAGTGGAATGCACTGAAAGACCAAGTTGTGGAAGCCACCTTCATCCACAACTTTAAGGCCAGATTCGACAAATAACTCGAACGTCAGAATAGTTCAATTACAACGTAACAGAGGTAGTATATGCGAGCCATAAACACCTATATAATCTTCACTTTCCCGTGGTCACTAATAGGTAAGTACAAATAGGTAAGTTCTGTACCTCCCTAATCCCCCCAATCCTCCCCCCCCTCATCTACACATCTCTTCACCTCCCTCATAATCTCTGCCCCCTCGAGTGCTAATCATTAAACCAGTCTTCGGCCTTTCCATCAATCTGCTAATCTACTTCGTGTCTTGTGTCGTGTTAAATGCTCCTAATTACTGTGTTAATATCATCAAGGGACTCGCAGGAAGCCATTTAAATTACGAAATTATGATGACGGTAATTTTAGAGGAATTATAAATCACTCTACTATGTCTTGCTTCCACTCGTACGATCAAAGTCGTGCTTTATAACGAACGCATTTGCACGCATTTACGCACGCACGCACGCAATGTTACATCTTTCAAGGGGGAGGATTCTAGTTCAGCGGTTTTCTCCCGTTCAGAACACAAACTGTTTCCAAGTTGAGGAAAATTCCTTCTGGAGGCTGTCTAACATCCCAGATTCTATCACAGTGGAGCCAGACTAACATTCTTCCCCACTCTCTCAAGACAAAAATATTCTCTTTAAATACCAGACCACACACTAGAATGTGAAGGGACGACGACGTTTCGGTCCGTCCTGGACCATTCTCAAGTCGATTGTGAGAGATTCTCCTTACTTAGGAGGGTAGAAATAGCCTAAGCTACTCTATCCCTTTGAGATGTATTTATTGCTTATCTCAATAAACATACTTGAACTTGAACTCCTTACTTGTGGTGGACTATTCTGCCTCTCCCAAATTCTGGAGTACATCTGAGGACGCCTTCTGAATACATCTCTCACTCCTTCCCTTAAATAACTTCTTTAAGACCCCTCACCCCTTCCCCATCTATTGTCTTTCATATTACACATTTCTCGTGTCCTTTGTATCCTTCACGGGGACCCAGCTATAGTCTCGTGCCACTGCTCATCTGGTCCATGTACTTCAAGACATGTTGTGATTATTCTGATTTCTTCAGTGATTCTTTGATATTTAATAGTCTGATAATACCCTCATCCAGGCTATTTCCTGGATGAGGCTATTTCCTCATCCATTTTTATCCAGTCGCCTCACTGCTCGAATTGATTCAAATTCGGAAACGTGATATATCGTCCTGCTACATGTCGTTTTGTACCGTGATGTCGTTCTTCGACTTGTCGTCGTCCTCCTCCGGCTTCTTGTCGACGTCCGACATGTCATCCTCATACATGATGTCATCCTCACACATGATGTCATCTACACTTTTATCAATGTCATATTCTCTCCTTCACCTTGCTGCTTTTCTCTCTCATTTTTACTTCTCTCCGTTTTTGCTGTTTCTTGCATCATTCTTTCATTTGTTTTATTTCCAGTTTTTCTCTCGTCTTCGCAAATATTTTACGTTGTCTTGCGTTTTTAGTTTCCTATTTGTCTCTTTTCTTTCTTTCTTCCTTCCACGGTATTACACTTCCTTTATAATTATTACACGTAAATTTGTTGTATTATTAATATCTGGTTTATCTTGCATTTAACAGTCATAGAAAATATATAAAACAATTTCTCTTCGTCTCCCAATTTGATTGCTGGTATTAACAGGAACCAGACCTGACCAGGCCTGGTCTGACCCGGTCTGGCCTGACCTGACCTGGCCTGACCCGGCCTGGCCTGTCCTGACCTGACCTGACGTGGTCAATCATGACCTGATCTGCCTCCAGCGATATCAACTAACACCTGGTTGATACCTGGTTGATGGGGTTCTGGGAGTTCTTCTACTTCCCAAGCCCAGCCCGAGGCCAGGCTTGACTTGTGAGAGTTTGGTCCACTAGGCTGTTGCTTGGCGGGACCCGCAGGTTCAAGAGAAGTTCTTGACGCACCTGGAGGGGCAGCAGTGGGTAGTTATGTAGAGAGAATGCCTTCGGGTGAGTAGAGAGCTAACTGGCCAAGCGTGTGTTAATTGACAACCCTATCACACCCAGGAATAAAAAGTCTCGACATTTGACTGCGAGCAGACGCGTCCGACAACTTGGCTGACCAGTCCAGCAACGAGGAGGCCTGGTCGAGAACTGGGCCGCGGGGACTTTGAGCCCCGAAATCATCGCAAGGTAAGGAGGGCATGGCTGGAACTATAGCTACAGCACTTCCCCCTAGACTGCCAGAGTGTAATTTATGCTCCCTTGACCGCAGGGCGATTGACAGCGGTCAGGGACCACAGATCAGGGAGCTGGTCAGCGGTCAGCGGCTGAGGACCTCCTGTGGTTCCAGTAGCCAGGCGGTCAAAGGTCACAGCAGGGATGACTAACCTACCCAACCTGCCGCAGACAGGTTGGGTAGGAGAGACTATCCTTTTGTTGTTGTTCGTCGACTCGACTCGATATCTTGATAGTCGGTTGGAGTCGGTGATATCCTTGTTCCTGTCCTATCCAGTGCTGCAATGTCACTTCATGGATCGGATATCAGGTTTGGGCAGTGGGAGTATATATATACCATTTAAAGCATTCATGGACCTGGATTAGCTCTGGCAAGACGGCAGATTGCAAGACTGGAAGGTATATGTATATATTTAAATTTATCTGGATATTTGTGAAGTATACATTATCCAGCGGAGTCGGTACCTTACCTTGAGGTTACCTTGAGGTGATTCCGGGGCTTAGTGTCCCCGCGGCCCGGTCGTCGACCAGGCCTCCTGGTTGGGTACAAAGATGTTATTTCACGAGTACCAGCTTGAAGTGATGTTGAAGAAACAGTGACACCTGTTGCCGCGACTAGCAATATCAGACACTTCATTAGCCCCACACATCACAAACACCACCACACCACTCACCACAAAACCCAACACCACCACACCACTCACCACAAAACCCAACACCACCACACCACTCACCACAAAACCCAACAGCACCACCACACCACACCTCACGCCCCCCAACACCACACCACACCTCACGCCCCCCAGCACCACACCACACCTCACGCCCCCCAGCACCACTCTCAAAACAGCCTATCATCAACAATTTCTTGGACAAAACAGTTACCGACATCAACGCTACACACACCTGTCCGGTCACACCTGCAGCCACATCTCACCCCTGCCACACCTTGCCACATCTTCCACCATCTGCTGGGATGCAGATGACAAGTTTTCCTCAGTTTTCTGAGAAAGTAAAGCACAGGAGCATCTCATAACTTAACCAAAGATGTAAGGAAGGAAAGTTCACACGAACGAGAGAGCACATCCTTATAGGACCAAAAGGAGGATAGAAACAGGGAATAGTGAAAGCAGTGAAAGCAGCCCTTAGCAGCTGTCTAACTCCCAGGTACCTATTTACTGTTCATGTGAACAGATGCATCAGGGGTGACAGAAACTCTGCCCTTGTTTCTCGCCGGCGCCGGGATTCGAACCCGGGGAATTAGGATTACGACCTCCAAGCGCTGTCCACTCAGCCTCGAGGTCATTATAAGGCCCCTCTGTGTGTGTGTGTGTGTGTGTGTGTGTGTGTGTGTGTGTGTGTGTGTGTGTGTGTGTGTGTGTGTGTGTGTGTGTGTGTGTATATGTGTGTGTGTGTGTGTGTGTGTGTCACTCCTTCGTCAGGCTGCGAGCAGCCGCGTCCAACAGCCTGGCCGACCAGTCCAGCAACCAGGAGGCCTGGTCGACGACCGGGCCGCGGGGACGCTAAGCCCCGAAAACACCTCAAGGTAACCTCAAGGTAACGCCGTTCTCGACACAATTTGATCGTTAGACGTAGTTGTGAATAGTTTATGGGGAGAGTTTTCTTGTAGTCTCATACATAATTGTATTTTTTTCCGGCAAGCATGTATAAAGTCTGAGTGTCCTGTTTGGATTGCATCTACCACCATCACCTCATTTAATACCACAATCACCCTACTTAGCTACTACCATCAGACCTACCACAACAACAATCATGCTATTGGTGATAACTCACCAATATGAACTCCTCCTACACCACCAGAACCACAATCAACAACCACACCAGCCACTACCACCCACACCATCCCACCACAACCACCAACAACCACCTCTCCACCACACCAACCCACACCATCCCACCACAACCACCAACAACCACCTCTCCACCACACCAACCCAAAGCACAATCAACTCGTTAATGACACTAATTGCAGAAGCCGCCAATGATCACTAATAACCAAGGCTTCATATTTATCCGTTCCGCGGTACAGTAATTTCAGTAATTAAGTAATATTGCAGTACAGATGAACACCGGGTAACGCCCATGAAACCGACCTAACCGGCTTCGCGACCGCCAAGACGACCGCAAGGACGACCACCTGGACGACCGAGGACGACCTAAGACGACCTAAAACCTGTACCGTCATGTAGACGTCACAGTGACGTCCTAATAGTGACGTTTAGCATAGTGCTAAAATTTGTGTATCTTCTTTTGCTAGGTTGGGTCAGGTCAAGACAGGTCGAGTTGGGCTCGCTTCGGTTCAGTTGGGTTCGGTTCGGTTCGGTTCGGTTCGGTACGGAAACAGTTCAACGCACAGGCCTCCCCCTTCAACCCGTTCTCGCACTTGCTTACAGTCAATATTGGCTTATTTAATAAGTGCATATGTAACATAGTAATTGATTGTGAATATTTTAGTTTACCTTGAAAAGCTTCATAGAAAACACCGACCTCACCTAACCTTCTTAGTATGTTAAGATAAACATTTTATTGCTTCTTATTTACAATTATTACTTAACCTATCAACGGTATAGGTTAAGTAATAATTGTAATATTATATATATATATATATATATATATATATATATATATATATATATATATATATATATATATATATATATATATGTCGTACCTAGTAGCCAGAACGCACTTCTCGGCCTACTATGCAAGGCCCGATTTGCCTAATAAGCCAAGTTTTCCTGAATTAATATATTTTGTCTAATTTTTTTCTTATGAAATGATAAAGCTACCCATTTCATTATGTATGAGGTCAATTTTTTTTTATTGGAGTTAAAATTAACGTAGATATATGACCGAACCTAACCAACCCTACCTAACCTAACCTAACCTATATTTATAGGTAAGGTTAGGTTAGGTAGCCAAAAAAAGCTAGGTTAGGTTAGGTTAGGTAGGTTAGGTAGACGAAAAAACATTAATTCATGAAAACTTGGCTTATTAGGCAAATCGGGCCTTGAATAGTAGGCTGAGAAGTGCGTTCTGGCTATTAGGTACGACATATATATATATATATATATATATATATATATATATATATATATATATATATATATATATATATATATATATATATATATATATAGAGGAGTGTCAAAAGAGGAGACGAAAGATAATTCATTATCCGGCCGTATCCCGAGTTACAACTCACCGCGTAACCGGATATTAAGAGTGTTATTTATTAGCCGCAAAATGCAAAAGATATCAGCGCCAAAGCGAAATACTCCGCCAAAACATTACGATATCCAATCCACGTCTGGCAGTGGAACTTTTATACCAACTTTCGCTACACATTGATGACTCTTGAGGGGGTCGTGGGGGGCTCCAGCTGGTGACGACCCTCCCAACACCCACTGACAGCTGGGTGACAGGTGACGACTGGTACACAGTGACAGCCTGGGTGACAGGTGACAGCGTCACCTGGTACACAGTAATACTCACCTAATTGTGCTTGCGGGGGTTGAGCTTTGGCTCTTTGGTCTCACCAACCTGTCCTCTTAAAAAGAACGTCGCTTTTGGCCGTTTGCCAGTATGGCCGAATTTGGACGTAATTTGAAAATAAAAAAAAAATTTAAAATAAATTTGGAGTTTTTTTTCAACAACAGTAAGTTAAGGGTCCTCTGATAGGTTAGGTGGGCAGAAAATTCTTATAAAGTTTCAAAACGTTATGAAAAACGTTAATTTAAAGTGTCCTCTTATAACCTCTGAGCGTACGCCAGACGACTCAAACAGAAAACGGAACAGAACGTCACTTTTGTGAGTCGATTTCATTTCAAATTACGTCCAAATTTGGCCATAGCGCGCATACGAGCCAAAAGTGACGTTATTTTTAAGAGGACGGGTTGCTCACCCAATAGCTGGGTGACAGGTGACGGCTGGTACACAGTGACAGCCTGGGTGACAGGTGACGGCGTCACCTGGTACACAGTGATAGCTGGGTGACAGGTGACGGCTGGTACACAGTGACAGCCTGGATGACAGATCACAGCTATAGGGAAAGGGGGAAAAGGGAAGGGAAGGGAACTAT